AGGAAACTGCCCTGTAGGCTAAATCCAAACTTGGTCTTACTTAAAGGAGACTTCTTGAAATCAATAGGACATAAATTAATTGTTTTCAGTCTATTTACTCTAAGGGTCTTTCCCCACTACTGATTTACAGACCCATTCCTGAGTCAACAAAAAATTACAGTGGCCAGTGGTGTTTGTGGGGGAGCCAGGGAAGCAAATCTGGCAAGATGGTGGTCACAGCATTCTGACCCATTCCCCATTCTGTTTATATGTCCATCACCAACATCTACACATATAAAGGGCTGGGAATTTGATTACGATGCCATCCCTGATATCTTGCCTAGTTTGATCTCTCTCCCTTGGAAGCTGCTCATACTGTTACATAATTGGCAGTCCCTATTGCTAATCCCTATCCTGCATCTATTTTTCTCTGTTTCAAGTCACTGCAGTCACCTAATTCCCCTTCAAGGTAAAGGATGACCAAGCCTAAGAAATGTTAAAGGCCATGAGGTTATCCTTAGCATGTATTGGAATAAGGGGTGAAATATTACATTACGGATTCAAGATAAGGACACTAAGTTTGTCTCATTAATGGGCTAGGAAGGAGATCAAGGCAACATTATGGTGCAGAAAAATGATGGGGAAGAAGAAAATGGGCATATTTGTGCCGCCATAATTAGGTAGAAGTGGAGAAAGGCACAAGTGAGATTAAACCTGTATAGAACTAGATGTTCTCAACATGAACAAAGTCTTTTGTTCTTGGCTCAGTTGCAATAGTGGCATAATACAATGTTATCTTTGGTTTAGCAGTACAAAAAGGTTCTGTGGCATTTGACCTTGAGAGCTTTCAAGTGTAATCCAGAGAGATGTTACGTGTAAAAATTGTTTGGCAATCTGCGGTCCCAAGAAAGATATACCATCTTCTGTATGTTGAAGACAGGTGTTAGTTGTACACGAAAACCAAGCAAATATTATTCTCTTTCTTAATAGAAACTGCTATGGAGCACACACACGCACACACAACAATAATAGGGTTTCTTGCATGAATGTTATTTTTTTTCTGAGCTAAGGGCTGAACCAAGAAATAAAACTTCTTCTCTGCATTATTTCTTATAAAGAGATGTTTGAGAATTGAGTGTTTTGCTGACTGCAGTTGATAGCTAAATTTTCAGTGTGAACATGTATCACCTTATCACAAAGGGTTAATACAATGCTAAGAATTGTCAACTTGCCAATAATTGAAAGAAAGACTATTGTGTATGAATGTTTTCCTCCTATTGCCACTGTGAGAATGTGCATTGCCAACCCACATTGCAAAAATTTGAGTAATGTTTACAATCTGCAGTGGAAACAGAAAAAAAAAAGAAAAAGATAAGAGTTAGCTTTGTGTAGCTGTTCTTGGCTGGCTGGATTTTGAGACAGCATGACTAGTGAATATTGGAACATTTATTTAAGAAATGGGAGAAAAACACACAAAGGCAAATCAGATACTGAAAGAACTGGTACGGACAAGAATTAAACTCTTCAGCAATGGAGAACCAACTGCCCTCCAAATGGTATTGGGTTTCAATTCCTATTAGCCCAGCCTATGAAGTTATTAAAGAATAACAGATTATGGTAATCATGTTTTTTTCTGGATCAGACTTCATTTCATTAGATGTATACAATCTTGTCCTGAAAGATGAGTCTGTTAGGAACACACACAGTCTCACAAACATATAGACAGATCAATTTTGGGGATGGCAACTAACAAAAGAATGATTGGATTAACATAAGCATTCTTGCATTGTTGAGTTGATTGTTTTGTCATGCTCCCAAAATCAAGGAAGACACGCTGAGTTTCTTCTAAGCAGTTTCTTTTATTGTTCCTCACCTATAGACAGAAATCTTGCAAATTAAAGCAATTTGCTTGCAGCATTAAAGATACTGTATTCCTTGAGAACTCTTAGGGAGGAGCTATATTGATCCTTTTCCTCCCAACCAAAGTTTGCTTTCTCTTGCTCCTCTGGAATGCATCCCTTCCCTCCTGGGAATGTGGACTACATTCCACCACATGTCTATAGCGAAAGAAGAAAACTTGACCTCTTATTATTTTGGGAGAAACTGTGGCATGCTTGTGAAGCTGCTCAGATCTGCCCACTAGTTCCTCTTATATGTGAGCAGTTAATGAATACTAGTTAATAAATGAAATAAATCTCATTTATTTAAAAAAAAAGAATATGAGAATGGATGCATATCAGAATATATTTTATGATTATTATTTCATGGCCCTAGCAAGTTTATGCTTTTAATCCAAAGCCCATTTTTTAGTCAAAACCTTGGATTCATTGCTCTACAAGTAGACTAGGAAAGATTGCTCCATGAAACCTTAAGAATGGCTACCATTAAGGGCTTCTCAGCCTTCTTCAAAACTAACATTGGTTCAGAGTAGAGCTAAAATTCCCCAAAGACATCCTGAGCAATAGCTGCAGACCAAGGAGAATTATATCATGAAGCAAGGGGAGGTGGGCTGGGTGACTGATAGGGTTCCTTTGGACAGACCCACATAAAAATGTATGTAAAAGAGTGAATTTTTAATACTAGCTAAACTCATTGGTCACACTATCTGTCAAAACTAGCTTCCTTTCTTCCTATAGATTGAATGGGGAATGTTGACAGGGAGAAAAACAAAGCTGGGAAAACCATCAGTCTCTGTCCTTAACATGCTCTGTACATCCTAAGGACAGTCCCAGTGATGAATTTTGAACATGAGGCAGGATTGGGATTATCCAAGTTGGAAGCAAATTTTATACTGGTAGGCATAAGGACTGGTAGATACACTTTTCCAGATTTGATGAATAGCCCTAAATCAGATCCTAGGAATCTTTTCAAGTGTTATTGCATGATTGGAAGAAACCAAAAATGTTGCAACATTTAGATATTACGTGAGATTTCTTTCTCTATGTGTAGTGGTTGTGGTCAACACCATCTAAAGATATTGCAAGTACTGTGATGTCTATACCCAGATTAGATGGACCCATGTGTGATTCAATTCAATATATTTTCCTCTGTTCCTAGGACCTGAAGAAGCATTAACAAATTCAACAGTGTCCTTTGATATCCACTTAAGGAGTTTTAAGTGGAATGAAATAATCTTGCCAATACGATAGCTTGTACTGGTAGTTGTTGTTCTATAGGTTTCTGGCTTCATTCTTGTTGACTTGGTTGTTTGCTGATGTTGTCATGAATTTTTCAATTGCATTTGGTACATTCTTGTGAGGACTTGATGGATGAGACTTTTAGGAACCTGGCCAACCATTTTTGTGGTATTTCACTCTATTTTGATCTGAAATAAATTGGCCTGTAATGAAAAATAGATGGTATGTCGACAGTGCTTATTACAGAATATAGATTGTTCCAGCCAGTATAATTAACATTTATGTTAATTGTCTTAGCTTGATGATACTTATGTTAGCTCCTGAAATAAAAGACTGAGTAATATTTGTTTACCTAGCAAAGCATTCTGTCACTGTTGTGATTTTTTGCTGGAGGGGCAGCCAGATATCTGGTTTATGAAGGATTTAGTGTTTTTTTTTTGAATACTAAGATCTGCCACTTAAAGCCTGGTGCAAAAGATAACCACTTAGAATTAAACAATTCTAAGGTCAGGGAATTATTCTGAGTAGCAAGAGTAACTGAAAATAATAGCACTTCCACACAGAAAAATCGAGTCTTGGTTATTACCACAATTTTCATTTTTGCTTCAATAGTATAATTTAGGGTGAAGTTGAAGAATATGGAAGATTGGGTCTGTGGGCCTTTTGTGACCTCTTGAGTCACAAAGCACCTATTTCATCCTTTAATTCTGTCCAAGACTCTCCAAGAAATTGGGCCTGTTCCCCCACATTTGGAAAGTGGCCTTCAGTGTGCCATATCAAGGGGAATCATTGTTGGTTAAGCAATTAAAACCAGAACTCTCCATTCTATCAATAGATTCAGGTCTACTGTTTATGCTTATTGTTCACTGCATTTGTGGTGGTAGAGGATATCCATGATATTATCAGGAGCTTTCAAAAGGCGTCTTTCTGATTTGTCACTCAGCACATGCTTTGTGGGAAAAAAACTTGTTCTCAGAATATACGGTAATCCTTTAATTAATCCCTTACTGAGTTTCTGAAGGCAAAGATCATTTTGGTCTAAAAATACTTAGTTAAAAACAAATATTACAGTATGTAAGATCTTTATTTAGAAACATTTTCTAGTATTAAGTATCATTAATGCAGTAATCAAAATCTTGAACCCAAAATTGGTCATGTTCATTCTTAAAAATCCATACATATATTATTTCATGTGCTATGCATGCTTCAATAATGATTCAATAATTTCTGAGCTCATGAATAACCAGCATCTCTCTGCTTTCATCTCTTCTGCACAAGTCTGAAAAAAGAAGCTGCTGCTTTAAGAAATCATTAATTAAGATTAACATGGCTGTTAAAGTAGAAACAGCCATATTCAAGTTTGTTTTTCATGAATAACAGTGAGGTGCTGGGCTCAGGATAGCAGGCAAAAGAGTTATCTGGCATTGATCTGAAGCTGAAATCAGAGTTAAATTTAGACATTTGTTATTTTTAATTTGTCTCTGCCTATGTGTATTATTGCTAAGAGCGTCAAGAGTTGCAAATGGCCTAGATCTCCAAGAAGCCTGCATTTGACCTGCTCTGTTGAGCCATGAAAACTGCCATTGATTAGCACAAAATACAGAGAGGTTGGGTCGGGAGAATGAGCAACCCTACTTCCATTGATTTCATGAGAGAAAAGAGGCTACATAAATGCATTGCCGTCCATTGTTACAGATCTAACCCAATACCAAGAGCCACTAGTTCTCTATTTTTGAAATTTTCTGGTATCCAGTAAGTCTGCCTAAATGTGTTCTGCATTTTCTGATTTTGTGTGAAAAATCAGAAGATAGACTGAATCTTGATAAACTGCGTGTGCTTTTTCTGTTGAATAAAGGGATTCTTACAAGTAGCAAAAAACTGAGAATGGCACTGAACCTAACAAGTAAGAGTAAAGCTGCCCAAGAATGATCTTCTGAATGAGCCACTTGTCCTTTCTCTCTTGATCTGCCCAAAAGCACGGGGGGGGGGGGGAAGAGAGCAGTTGTTCACATGTTCATTCATGGATTTCATGAGTAGTGGCAGAAACTGGCTTTGCCAAATAACTGTTAAGAGAATGGTACTAGAATAATGGTGTTCTAAAGCAGGGTAGTCAACCTTGGCTCTTTTATGACTCGTGGACTTCAATTCCCAGAATTCCTGAGCCAGCTTAGCTGGCTCAGGAATTCTGGGAGTTGAAGTCCACGAGTCATAAAAGAGCCAAGGTTGACTACCCCTGTTCTAAAGCAACATGAAAAAAACCAAAGTTGCTGCCTATTTTTGAAGCATTTTTCTTTTGGCTGGATGCTCTTCCTTGCCAAAACGTGAAGCTTGCAGAGGGTGTGTATGAAGCTGATAATTCTCTGGCAATATTTACAGAAAATTTCTCACAGCCCCTGCAGGTATGGATCCAGGAAACAGGACCTGACTGGACCAACCAGTACTAAGAGTTATTGAACCTCAGAAGTCAGTTTAAATCCAAGATTTCAGTTTAAGTGAATTCCTGTTGGGGCTTGTTTTTATCCTGATTAAATATAGCTATAAGCCGTAACTAAGAGAGGACTCCAGGATAAGATCCTTTGTTTCTCCTTAACCCGAAGTGAACATCTATAGATTCTATTGGCTTCATATTAGAAATTTAACTTCAAGATGGAGAAAGCAGAAAGCAAAAATAAAGAAAAGATGGGTGTTATGTAAGTTATTAGCGCCTCTGGAGACAGTATGGCATGAAAGGAAGCAATCTACATAACAGTACAACAAGTTTCCTTATCAAATTGAAACAACAAAATCCCATAACTATTTTCATCCTTCAGGGTGCACATATTGCAATAATATCACTTACATTTTAAATTACAGTTCAAGGGGTAAAAATTTTATTGAACACCTGGTGTTTTTTCATTTTTAATCTGACAAATTAAATGTTAGTGTACCATCCATGGAACCACTGAATAATGCAATTGATGGCAAAGAATACTTCTTCTTGTTGTGCCATATCCGTTATCGGACATTGGCGATCACGTTGGCGATCCTGTTTTTATCAGCAGCCGCACGAAAAAGTGCTGCTGAGTTTTGTCCAAACCAGTCCCTTAGATTTTGAAGCCACGATGTCCTTCTTCTGCCTGGACCTCGTTTGCCTTCAATCTTTCCCTGGAGGATTAAATGGAGTATGCCGTATTTTTCTGGGTGTCGCATCACATGTCCGAAATATTCTAATTTTTGTTTTTTAATTGTTTTGATGATTTCCCTTGGCTTTCCCAGGCGGCTTATCACCTCATTTCTGATCTTGTCAACCCAGCTTATACGTAACAGCCGCCTGTA